TTTTTCTGAGAATTAGTTTCCTTTTTTCCAACATAAGAAGACTGTATAATATCTATGAACCTTTCAAGATAAGAAAAAAAATTCTGTGTTTAACTTAATTTCTGATTTAACAATTATACTTTGAGCAACAGGTATTTGCTTGATCAGCAAATATTTCATACTATTTTCATCTAAATTTTAAGTCTTTCCCAAATGGAACTTCACTATACTTGGAGTCAGAAAGAACTGCATTTGAATCTTGCCTTAGACTCTTACTAACTGGCTAGAACTCTGGCTAAGTCATTTAATCTCCTTGGGCCTCACTTTAGTCTATGAGTAAAATGAGACGAACAGACTTAATAAACTCTAAGGTCCTTTTCCAGCTGTATTTATATGATCCTGTGACCCCAAGATATTCATGTGCAATGTAATAAAATTGAACATTTGAATGAGTTATTAATCCCACTTTCTAAATAGAGGGGTGGAGAAGTAAAAGAAAATAAGAAATATTTGCAGTCTTCCTTTAAAAAAATGAAGATACATTTTCTTTTACAAATGGAAAATAACCATCAGCAATGGTCAAGAAAAATAGTGAGAGGATAAATAGAGTAGGAATATCATATATTTATTTTCCTCATATTTGTGGCAATCTATGGTTTAAGTTTGTCCAAAAGAGACCTCACTCTTTAAGAAAGAAATTCCATCTAATGAATTTATTTGGAAGGCATTTTGATGGCATCTTCCACAATATGTGGTACATTTTGGAAGATCTTCCCCTAAATTATGGGACACTGGTTTGGTTGTGACTTAGCAGCTGTTTGTAACACTGAACAAAGCAGAAGGCTTGGAGCAATGGTTTCCTCCCTCTATGGACCTGTTTTGTTTCAGTTATACCACTAAGGATTGGCTTAGCATAACTCATGGTCATGGGTAGTTTAATAGGGTAAAGTTGATCATTTATGAACTTGAACAAAAAAGTCACAAGAGGGCACTTTTTTTTCTTGATTTCATCACCTTTATACAAATAATGAATATTTGCATTGATAAGCTATGATTAGATTTCCCTTCCCCTACTATTTTATAGGGGGCAGGTAGTGGATAGAGTGCTGGGCCTGAAGTCCACAAGACTCATTTTCCTGAGTTCATATCTGGCCTTACTTTCTGTGTGACCCTTGGGCAAGTCATTTAACCCTGTTTGCCTCACTTTCTTCATCTGTAAAATGAGCTGGAGATCAAAACGGCAAACCATTTCATTATCTTTGCCAAGAAAACCTCAAATGGGGTCACAAAGAGCCAAACATGGGTGAAACAATGACTGTTTTATATGAAGAATAAAATCTACTGAAACTGTATTTCTTTGAGATAGTCTAACACAATGGAAAGAATTCTGGACCTGGAATTATGAGACTGACATTATTATCCACAGTAAGGTATGTGACCTTGGGTTAATTCACGTTACATTACAGAATCATAGGTTTTTCATCTGTAAAATAAGAATACTTACACTACCTGCTTGACAAGATTGTTGTGAGAAGAGTGATTTTTAAGCCCTGAAGTGGTGTAGAAATATGAGTTATTACTGAGCGAGACTGAGGTTGGCATATCAACATTAATGAAAAACAGCTTTGAAAAGAGTTTTTATTTTTTGTGCTGAAAAGGGAAATTGCTATTTTTCCTCTTTTGTATGTTTTTCTGACAGCTCAGACATATTTGTCTTAACAATATAAAGTTAGTAGTTTCATATATATAATACATATGTCTAAATGTATGTGCACGTATATGTAACATATAGCATACAATATATAGTTCCTTAAGGTTTTCAAAGCCTCTTATTAGTGTTATCTCATTTTATCATTACAACAACCCCAGGGGGTGGTTGCTATTATTCTTATTTCCATTTTAGAGATTCAGAAATTGAGCCAGAGAGAGTTTACATGACATGTCCCAGATCACAAAGAAAAAAATGAAAAGCAGAAGTGTCTGAGGCTGTGAGTTGCACTAAGGTCTTGATTACGGATCCTAGGCCACTGAATCACCAAGTTACCGTACATAATTAGATAACTTTAAAAATTTCTTTTGCCTTTAAATTGTCCTAAGCAACAGTACTATGGACTCTTCCATCTTGCAGAACTGGTACAATCATTTAGGAAGTGTTCAAGGCTCTGTGAGACTTTTTTTCCTTCCTGAGGAATTCAGATTCAGGCCGATAGGGTTGGGATTTTTCTTTATTTTTGTTTTTGACTTGATATTCCTGTTGAATTTAATTATTTACCACACCCCATTCCAGCTAAGAAAATATAAGCTTTATTTTCTGGCCTTTAAGTTTGAAACACATTAGATTTTCTTTAAAGCAAATAAAACAAAGCAAAGCAAATTCTCTGTGTAATGGATAGTGCACCAGTCTTAAAGACAGGAGACCAGGGGCTCTGGTTTCCACTTTGTGACCGTCCTAGTTGTGTGTCTGTCCTTGGGAATGTTACATCCTCTCTCATCTTCATTTGCCTAATCTACAAAATAAGGAGGGGAGTACAGATGATCTTGAAGCTCTCTTTTGGCTCTAAAACTGTAGGACAATATTATGATTTTGAAGTTCAAAGAAAGCAAAGATAGATCTGTGATCCATTCTTGTTTACTAGCCACAAACCATTTTCTGTCCCATGACGAGAAACAGAGATGCTTTTTGCTTCTATAAGATCTATGTATGTAAAATCTCTTAAGGGAAGGAAAAGGATGATATTTAGGCAGTAGTTTGATTTTTGCTTTTTCATTTGAAATTGATGTAGCAATATGCTAAACAGGTTCTATTTTCGAAGAGATAAGGACTAAGTTTACAGGGTGTTGCCAAGGGAAAAAAAAAAGAACTGAAGTTTGTCAAGGCAAGTAGATGGATTAGGAGGGAGGTTTTGAGTCTTGCCGTATACTTAATGTGAATTTGAACAATGTTCTAACAACCACATACTAGAGTTTTCCCATCTGGGAATAGTATCTATGTGCTCTTTTGTAGCTGTAGGTAAAACAAGCACAAAGCTATTAAGAAGGACTTGAGAATAAGTGAAGCTTTAGTCACTTCAAGACAGAAAAGTACTAGGCAAGTCCAGGTATAGCTATTACATGAGCAAACAGTAAAAGTTTGCCTGTATCTGCCTGCCTTGTCTCATTTTGTGCATTAAAATTACTTAAACTTCACAGTCTCTTTCTCCAATTTCCTTTTTTATTCTCCTAAAACCCTTTTTTGCTTCCCATCTTTTTTTTTTGGGGGGGGAAGAAAAGGAATGGCAGAACATTAGAAAGATACAATCAGACCTTATGTGTTTGTTTTATAAGTACTATCTTCTACTCTCCTCTAAGAAATCACATTCAATAGCATGTGAAATTGAGAGATTTAAATTCCTCTTTCTCTTCAAGTTTTCTGGATAAATCATGGTACAAGCAGGCCACGCAGCAGTGTGATTTGGAGGGTGCTGAACATGTCTCCTCCCCTCCATACCTTCCCCACACTTGCTGGCTTATGAAATTATATAATTAGAGATTGATCTATAAAATGATGAATTTGGGCTAGATGATTTCTCAGGTCCCTTGTCTCTCTAAAATTCTATCTTTCTAGTTTTTAGCGTGAAAGAGGAAAAGGATTGATTGGGGGTCATTTGTAGGTTTTTGAGGGGAGAAGAATGGTGGAGATATTCCTAGCATTTACATTCTGTATAAAATGAGTCTTTTCACAGGTCCCCTGTAGCTAAGGAGTTTTGCCCTAGTTCATGGTATGCATGTGGAGAAAATGCACACCACCTGACTTGAGGGGTAAAGGGTAGGGAGCAGAAAGTCCCACCTGTTAATCTCTGTATCCCTTTCAGTCACATCCATGACACGGCAGGATTTTATTCACAAGCTGGCAGAGTGTTCTGTTTTTCTACTACCCCAATCCTGAAATCCCCAGCTAAGTAGAGGAGCCAGTTACACCTGTCCCCAAGTCAGGTTCTATTTTCGAAGAGATAAGGACTAAGTTTACAGGGACAGAAGCTTTGTCCCCATTTATTTGCCTGCTGCCTCGTGTGTACCCAGGGTGTGTGCTATTCTTCAATAGAAACCTGTTCTTTTGCTCATTTGAGGGTAAAAGCCAGATTAATTGGGGGGCGGGGTGGTGTTGTAATATTTCCTAAAGGGCTTGTACCACTTCCTCTTTCCATCCCTACCCTTTAGCTCAAATTCCCAAATCTAACTGCTTCTTATTACTAGATCTTGTCTCTTTCACATTCCCTTAAAAGTCTAGAAGTGAGCAGAGTTCGTCTTGGTGCTTTCAACACTGAATGTGGATTTGGCTTGTCCGAGAAGAGCAGGTTTAGGGTTGCACGTTTCAAGCTTGGGATAGTATAGATTATTAGCCATCCTCCTCCCCGCTCCCTCCCCCGCCCCCACACACAATATAAGCATTGCAGTTTTAATGCTTACATTCAAAGGAGAATTAACACATGTTCCCTAAATCATACAGGTTAGAGAGTCTCATATGATCAGAGGGCAGGTTTAAGAGCCAGTGTGCACAGAACAAACGTTCAAGCAGAGCTTTCAGATGTCCCTAAATCCATGAAACTGACAGTTCACGCACAGGCAGGGATGATGAGTCTTCACCTCTGGCAGAGAACGAGTATATGGGTGTTCAAGCATATGTGTGTAGGATTTGGGGGAGGAGATAAGGAGGAGAAAAAGGTAATCCCTAGCGGTTTAAACACCCACCCACCCACCCCCATTCCACCTCCCCGCCTTCATCCAAAAGAATGACTCTCTCCCAGGGCAGTTACTGCGGCCACACCACAAACTTAAAAGCCGCCCTCCGGTATTGAGCTTGCCTCTCCTCACCAAGAGCCGAGAGCAAAAGCTCCAGCTGTTGCCACGCTCGGGGCTAGTTCCGGCACGGTGTTTAAGGGAGCAGCAGCGCCCTCTGCTTTCTGATCCCGCCTCTGCGGCAGCAGCAGCCGCCCTCCACAGCAGCCAGGGCCGCTGCTGCTGCTTTAGCAGCCGCCGCGGCTCAGCCCGAGCTGCTCTCTCCGAGGTGGAGAGAGGCCATCCCACCGGCTTCCAACTTCAGCCTCACGGCTCCCTAGACGCAGTTTATTCCCCCTCACTCTTGGAAAATACGTCACGAAAAGGAAAAAAAAAAAAAAAAAAAGAAGAAGAAGAAGAAGAGAGAGGAAGATCAAAGCCAGGTAAAAAAAGTGCATCTCCGATCACCTGCAGGTGGGCTGGCGCACAGTTCTTAGCAACTTGAGCTCCACGACTTGTTAAACGGGAAGGCAGGGCGAGAAAGGGAGGTGCAGCAAGGTCCTGAGCTAGGGCGCAGAGCCGAAACACGCACAGCCCTGAGCGTGGCGGAGATAAGGGTGCGGACGCCGTAGGGACCCCGGCAAAAGCGCCCGCGAGCGGTGGGTGAGGGACCTTTGCCCGGAGGGAGCGAGGGGGTGCCCGAGTATGGGGACAGGAGGGACTAGGGAGGTGTACGGAGATGGAGCTCATCTGTCATCACTGAGAAAAGTTACTAGCCACCGAGAACGTTATATGTAGTTTTCGTCAGAAAAAGAACTACACTTAACTGTGCTCTCAGTGCCAAGTCACAGTAAACCTGTTCTCTGATTAACGTATGAGCTGCAGGTTTCAAGACCAGTAAAGTATTAGTAGATGAAAGACGTTGAGAAGAGGTTTTTGCTCCTCAGTAGATTTCGTACTCTTCTTTTACGAAAATGTTGCTAGCCCAAAGGTTGTGTACGTGTAAGGGTGACTGGTACATTGTGTGTTGGGGGGGGGGGGG